CCGTGTCTGTGCCACACACACTCCGCCCGCCACGTCAGTCAGCAGCGTGTCATCAAGGAGCTACAGCAAATGTGTCAAGGACAGGATGTTCACGGCTCCAGGGCTGAAACGGGCAAATCGTGGGGCAGCCTGCGTGCCAATGGACCCCGGCTGGCTTTTAGGTCCTGATGCATTTCATTTTCTAGAACCAGAGTCAAGAGAGCGCCGCAGGACGACTTTGCCCGCGGGGGGACCAGAAGCCGCCTCTGGGCGCACTGTGGGCTGCCACAGGTCATGGGGGGCTACTGGCCTCTAGTGGGTGAAGTCTGGGCTGCTGCTCCAGCCCCACAACCACAGGCCAGCCCCCCAGAGAGTCGCACGGCACACGATGCCAACAATGCCACCACCGAGGCCCCCCTAGGTCTCCTTGGGGCCGCCGTCTACCGTGACCCTGAGTTTAAGACAAGGGGCCGGCAGACGGGTCGAGGAATGCGTCACCGTCACGGCCACTCCAGGCTGGGCCCCTCTGCACCCAGAGGGGTGCATCCGTGGACAACAGAGACAGGCTGTCCACCAACTTCAGCATGTGACGGCGTGGAATGCTGCCTGGGGGGCTTCCACAGAACTTGCCATGTTTTCTTTCATGTATTCTGCCCACTCCCACCCACAGGAAATGCGGTCAAGGTTGATGTACTTAATCTGGAGCAGCACCGTGGACCCCAGCATTTCAGCTTCTGTGTTTCCCCAGAGCTTGACATGAATGAATGACACGAGCGTGGGCCAGCGGGCTGGTGGGCGCGGGGAGCGGCGGGCAGGGCGTGGCCCGAGGGAGCACTCACCGGGCCTCGCAGGTCGATGAGCTCCTGACGCATCTGTGCCACGAGGGCCTCCTTGGCCACCAGAGCCCGGTGCAGGCGCTCGTTGAACTCGATCAGCTCGCCGTGCATCTCCGCCACCTGGAACACACAGAGCGGTCAGCGAGGCTCGGAGGGCAGGACCCGCGCACCGCCCCGGGCCTGCTCCCTCTTCTCGGCACTCTCGGGAGGCTGCCGGGAGGTTTTGGCAGCTGATGGGACCTGGGGAACAGCGAAGGAGACACGAGAACAGACGTGGGTGGGAGGCCATGGGGAGGCTGGCAGTGGCGCGTTTGTCTTCATTTTGCTCTGTCCCCTGCAGACTCGTCCGGCCCCTGCCCCTTGCCCGCGGGCCCCCAGCAGGAGGTGCCTTGGACATGTGGCAGCTTCCAGGCCTCAGTGGCCTGCTGTTTGGCTGGGCGTGTACCCACGAAGGGAAGGGGACTTCGGGTGTTTCACAAGCAAACTGTTTTACCCCCTTTCTCTTCTCTTGCTTTCATGACGCACTAGTTAAAGTTCCTTTCCATTTAACGGTCTTGCACACTGGAGTATGCTGTCTTGATGCAGCAGATGGCAGAACAGGCATGTGTGGGGGTTCTGGGGTGCCCCTCACCCTGCTAGTGACAGATCCAGAGAGTAAACAACTGTGTAAGTCGCAGAAAGCACAGAGCTAGCCTAGAGAGTCAAAACTCCAGTAATGTCTCTGATTACAAGCGCGATCCTTCTGGAGCTTAAAATCAAATTCAGCCGTGATTTATCTATTTAAACCTTGTAGAGCAAAGAAGAAGGCTCTTGTGAGCACATTAAAGAGAAGCCACCGCCCCCCCCCCCCCATGGGGAGGTGTGGAGGTCAAGCAGATCCTCACCCAGCTCTGGTCCTCTCCCTTCCCCAGGAATCACCCCTCCTGCACCCCCACACATCAGCCCGCCACTTAGTGTAGTGCATGTAATAATCCCAGTAGTATCAGACTATTAGCAGTAAGTATACTATGTGAAATATAAAATCTACTGTTGGAATAAAAAAGGGGTATTAGGGAGCAGTTCTGTAAGGGGGGACTCACTGAGGGGCGTCTTGAGGAGGAAGGGGCCAGGGGAGCCTGCCTTTCCCTTTCTGAGACATTGTTACATCAAGGGTAAGCGCCTAGGAGGAAGCACCATTACCGGAGGGCGGCTCGCTTCCATTCTCTCGGTTTCTCTTACTCTCCCAGTAATGAGCGCTCTTTAAAAGAATTAACATTCTTCCCCTGAATCTAAAGGGCACCCTGCGGCCAGCGACGTGCCCACCCCGGCCTCCATTAATCGCTCTGTGCCACCCGCCATCGGCGCCCTGACCCTCGGGTGCCGGCCCAGTGACTGGGAGCGAACATGGCACAAAAGACTTTGCCCGCACCGTGCAATTAACAGAGGGAGAGTAAGTCACTAAGCCTTTTAGCCAGATTGCTTTTGTACAGAGCTAAAATTAATATCCCCTGGTTACCTAATTTCTTTCGTACTTAAAAAACCAAAAACTTTAAGGTCTCCTTCTGACCTTTCACAAGCAAACCGGACATACTACCAGCGTGAAGCCCCCTCTCCCAGGAAACCACAGCCCCCCCC